GCGCGCGCCCAGGGAGCCGGACGGGCCAGGGGCGGCGGGGAGTGCGCCAGCGCGCGCGCCCAGGGAGCCGGACGGGCTAGGGGTAGCCGGCGGAGCGGGGCGTGCGCAAGAGCGCGTGCCCAGAACAGCGGACGGCGGAGGGGCAGCCGGCACAGGGGACGGTGCAGGGGCAACCGGGGCAGCCGGGCAAATTCGACCAGGGCAAAATGGGATTGGGAGACCGGTGGGGCAGAGCCAACCGGCCAAGGAAAAGGGGACGGGAGGGCCCGCAGCGGAGAAGTGTCGGGGATGGTTGGTTGGGAGCCAGCTGACGTTGGAGGAGCAGGGGTATGCGGCGTCAGTGGCAGAGGCGAACCGGGACGTGTTTGCAAACAGTCTGGAGGAGATCGGGGAGTTCAAATTGTTCGAGGTAGAGCTGACGTTAAAGTCGGACAAGCCCATTTTCGAGCGGCGAAGAAAGCACAGCGTCAAGGAGTGGGAGCTTATAGACCAGCGGTGCGCGGAGCTAGAGGCGGCGGGGATCATCGAGGAGACGGACAGTGATTTCGCTGCGAACTCGGTGCTAGCTGCAAAGAAAGATCCGGAGGGGAATTGGAAGCTAGATCGGTTCTGCACAGATCTGCGCAGGGTTAACTTGGAGACGGCGCAGGATCGCTACCCGATGCCACTGCCGGAAGAGGTGCTGGAAGCGTTGGGGCATGCGAAGTTCTACTCGACAATCGACATTAGGGGGGCGTTTCATCAGTTGGTGGTGAAGAAGGAGGACAGGCGAAAGCTGGCGTTCTGGGGGTCCACCAAGCTGTACTGCTGGAAGCGGTGTCCGTTCGGGGCGCGCAACCCCAGCGCGTGGTTCCAGCGGGCGATCGACAGGACGTTGCGGGGGTTGGAGGCGTTTTGGGAGCTTCATCGACGACGTGCTGGTGGCTGGAGGGGAGACGCTGGAGGAGCATATGGCGCTGGTGCAGCGGGTCTTGGATCGGCTGAGGGAGGTGGGGCTCAAATGTCACCCCGACAAGTGCTGCTTCGGGGCAGACTCGGTCGAGTACCTCGGGATGTGGCTGCGCCCAGGCAAGGTGTCGCCAGTTGTGGCCAAGGTGGCGGCGATTGAGGCTCTGCCAAGGCCCACAGACGTCACGTCCGTCAAGGCGTTTAACGGGGTGGTGAACTACTACCGGAGGTTCATTCCGGAGTGCAGCAGGGTGCAGGGGCCGCTCAACGACCTGACGAAGAAGGAGGTGCAGTGGCGCTGGGGCGAAGAGCAGGAGGGGGCGTTCCTGGCGCTCAAGAAGGCGCTGCAGAACGAGCCCGTGTTGGCCCTGCCGGTGCGGGGGCGCAAGTTCAAGGTGCGTTGCGACTGGAGCAAGAAAGGGGTAGGCGGGGTCCTGCTGCAGGCTGATGAGCAGGGGGTGGACAGGGTGATTGCGTATGGTAGCCGCAGCTGCAACCCGGCGGAGTCGCGGTACAGCAGCTTCGAGGGGGAGCTACTCGCGGCGGTCTACTTCGTGCGGCTGTGGCGGAACTACCTGTACGGGGAGCAGTTCACGCTGGAGAGCGACCACAGGCCGCTCAAGTGGATTCTCACCAACACGAAGCTCACCGGCAAGCTCGCTCGCTGGGCCATGATGCTGAGTGAGTTCGACATGGAAGTCGACCACACCCCCGGGGAGGAGAACGAGATGGACTGCCTCAGCCGCTACCCCCAGCAGTCGGACGAGGACACAGCGGGGGTCCGGCAAGAGGGGGATTTAGGGGAGGTGCTGGCGCCCTGCTGGTCGGCAGCTGCTGCGCTGGCGTGGGCCCCGACAGACTCTCCCGGGCAGGACGGAAGTCGGCGAGTGGTGGCGCGGCCCGCAGTGGACGTCTGGGAGGACGCAGCTGTCTTGTCGCTGCTGCGGACAGGACGCGTTTCAGCGGAGGCGACAGTTTGGGCCGCAGCTGGCGGCGCGCCAGGAGCGCGCGCGCAAGCGCCAGGTGGCGCCCCAGCTAGGGACGCGCCAGGTGGCGTCGCAGCCGTTCGCGCGCCAGGAGCGCGCGCGCTGGCGCCAGGTGGCGACGCAGGTGGCGGCGCGCCAAGAGTGCGCGCGCAAGCGCCAGACGGCGCCGCAGCTGGGGGCGTGCCAGGCGGCGTCGCAGCTGGTGGTGCGCCAGGAGCTTGCGCGCCAGCGCCAGGTGGCGCTGCAACTCGGGCCGTACCAGGACTGCGCGCGCCAGCGCCAGGTGGCGCCGCAGCTGGAGGCGCGCCAGGAGCGCGCCAGCTGGCGCCAGGTGTCATAGCAGCGGGGCGCGCGCAGGCGGGATGTTCCCCGGGGGAGCGGGATCGGGTGCAGCACCGGGCGCGCAGCTTCGAGTGGCGGCGAGATCACCTCGTGCACAGGGGAGCAAACGGGGAAGTGCGGGTAGTCCCGCGGCCGGCGGAGAGGGAGGCGCTGATTCGGGACGTGCACGAGAAATGCGGGCACTTTGGGGTCAAGAAGACAGGGTCCCTGCTCAGCCCTCACTACTGGTGGGTGGGGCTGGCGGCGGACGTTCAGCGGGTGGTGCGCCGGTGCGAGGCGTGCGATCGGGTGAGGGCGGCCTTCAACGCGGTTAATCCTGTGTTGCAGCCCCTCCCGATCAAGGGCCTGTTTTATCGTTGGGGGCTAGACTTTGCAGGCCCGTTGCCCAAGTCAAGCCGGGGGAACCAATTCGTGCTTGTCATGGTTGAGCACTTCAGCAAGCACGTGGTATTCGTGCCCACAGCTGACAAAGAAGCGCAGACGGTGGCGGAGGCGTTCACCCGGGAAGTGCTGACAACGTTTGGGGCATGCGCTGAAATAGTGACGGACCGGGGGGGAGAGTTCGGGGGTGTCTTCCAGGAGCTGCTCGACCGGTCTCACATAGACCACCGGTCGACCTCGTCTCACCACCCGCAGGCAAACGGGCTCAGCGAGCGCATAGTTGGGGTGGTCAAAGGGGCGTTGCGCAAGTGGTGCCTTGGGCACGCAGCGGAGCAATGGGACGTGTACCTGCCCTGGGTCGCAATGGGGTACAGGTTCAGCGCGCAGGCGTCTCTCGGGGGGTTCTCCCCGTACATGCTGCTCTTCGGACGGGAACCGGTGTTGCCAGGGACAGTGTGCGCAGCGCTGGAGGAGCCCCTGGATCTCGATCGGCCCGACAGGTTGCGGGCGCTGGTGGCAGAGCGTGCCGCGCTGTTCCGGAAGTGGGTTCCCATGGCCATGGGAAACCTGCAGATCGCGCAGCACCGCGACACGCTGCGGTACGCCAAGACCCGCAGTGGCGCATGGAAGCCCCAAATCCTCAGGTACGCGGTTGGTGACTA